ACACACTGATCCTGGAGAGGTGACTTAACATGGGCCCTCTAGCCTTCTTGGAGCTTAAACAATTATTTAAAATTTGGAATTACACTTTAAATTTCCACATCAGTGTGCGCCAGCAGCCTTGAGTTATCCAACATAAACTGAAAAGTAGAGACCACTAACGGCATCTCATAAAAGTGCTTCTGAGATTTTTTCTTAAGTAGAATATTCTGAGGACCACAGGATCCAGAGATAGGAATTTCCCAAAGCTTAATCTAGGGATTTTTTTTTTTTTGGTGGTAAAGTGGTTTGAACTCAGGGCCTGATGCTTGCTAGGCAGGCACTCTACCACTTGAGCCACTCACCAGCCCTTTTTTGTGTTAGGTATTTTCGAAACAGGGTCTCACAAATTATTTTCCCAGGCTGGCTTTGAACTCCTGATCTCTGCCCCCTGAATATCTAGGATTACAGGCATGAGCCACCGGGACCCAGCAAATCTAGGAATCTTTTGAGGAGCTCTGTACCCAGCAATGAAATGAATGCCAAGACCAATACTTACAAGTGGTGACCAGATACATCATCCATGAAGAGAAGTCTCTTGGGCTTCCCATAGTTAAGTCTCTCAGTCACTTGTTACCAACTTGCGCAAATCCTCATCCACAAACTTTCCAGGCATCCTAGACTAAAAACTAAAGGCAATGTGGCCAGTGAAGCCTTAATTTAACACTTTATTTTTCTTATATTTGCTGGTAAACTGTTCAGGGTGTATTACCAAAGACTTTTTTGTTTTCTACAAATGAAACAAAACAACAAAACGCTGAAACCATATTTTGAGTCCACTTCTGTTCTTCCAGGGTCCAGGGCCTTTTGCTTGGGAACAGGACTGTTTTACATTCAGCAGCAGCCACTCCAGGGTCTAACTCTTGGCCCTGACAGGCAGGGGTCAGTGCATCATGGATCAGAGGACAGACCCACGGGGAGTAAGCAGAGGAGTCTGCTACAGTTTAACTGGGAAGCACAAACCAACAAGCTGGCACTAATTAAGAGTTAATGGCTTTACAATGGAGCATTGCCAAAGGATAACGACCCTCTGGCTACAGCATAAATATCAAGACAGTTGGGACAGAGCCAAGACATATATTTTCAGAGAACCCTAGACCCAAGTGCAGCCTTCTTCACTTGGCTCTGCTAAAAAAAAATTGAGAGGATGTATGATAGGCAGGGAAGATGCTAGATCTTCCAGGGCTGCCTTCTGGTCAAGGGTTTCAAGACCCTCAGGGCGATTTGGGGGAAATACTTTTCTTTTCAGGTCTAAAATTTTTGTGCATACACAAAAGTCACTAGAGGCTGAGGATGTGGTTCAGTGGAGAATGAGTGCTTGCCTGATTTCAATTGCCAGCAACACACACGTGCACACACACACACACACACACACACAACCCACTAAAATGTCCCCTTCGGACCCATGCTGTCCCTTTGGTCTGAAATGAGGGTGCAAGCAGCTTGCCCAAGTGACTCTGATGCTGGTGGTCCTCAGACCACACTCTGAAAAATCCTGCTTTAGAAGCAGCTGTTAAATCCTAATTCTATCACTACAGCTAGGGAAACTCTTGCAGGTTATTTGCTTTTTCCATTTCTTAGTTCCTTCATCTTTAAAGTAGAAATAGAAGTGATATCTAAGTTGTATTAAATGAACTATACACATAAATTGCTTTGAAGAATAAAAAAAAAACAGGTGCTGTTTGTCCATCCCACCCCAATGAGAAAGTTTTTACAGGATGAAGTTAAGTCAGGGTTCTCTGCTTCCCATGAAAACACCAGGCCAGAACACAGCACGGGACTGTTTAAGAAAAGTTTGTGTGGGGCTCTTCCCACTCACACAGACCTGTAGGGACTAGGATAAAGATGGCAGGGGATGCAGTCGGTTCACCCCGGGTCTTGACCAAAAGAGAAAGCATCCCATCTGCATTGTGTGATCAGCAAGTGATGCTTTTGTGTACCATAACTTAAGTAATTGTACTACAGGCTTTCAGTGTACTTAAGTTATTCCATCTGTTTTAAAGCTGAGGAATTGTGGGCCTGGAGGTGTCTTGCCTCCTCTGGTTGCCATGACATCAGAAAAAGAGGGAAAAATAGTGGCTGTATTATAACTGTGGGAAGCGGAGCAGGCAAACCGAACCAGTAACTTGAGCTTGACCTACCTTGCTCAGGCTTATTATCTGCCAATGTAACTGACAGGATGGGAAAATACTGTTGTAAAAGGGTTGATGGGTCAGATTATAAAAACAGATGGGAAATTCGTACCATGGATGCAAGCAGAGTAGAACAGGAGAGAAACAACCCGCCATATCATCTGGGAAAATGAAACTGCTTGGCAAGACTTCACAACAGCCTAATTCAAAATTTCATAATGAAATTATGTCTCTGATCAAAGCCTGCATGAGCTCATGGGCTGATTTTTGCCATTCGTGTTTATTCTGGTTTGTACCAAGTAGAGGCATCAGAAACACATTAACCTAATCTTCTCTCAGGGAGGAGTCTATTGTACCCTTATTTGGGGATCAAAGGGACCGTGTGGGACAGGAGGGAGCATCTTTAGACCCTCACTGAATGTGAAGTTTTCTCCCACTAGTTCTCAGAGATCTCTTACACATGTCAGGGTTAGGGCCCTCCTAGCAAGGATGTGTTTAAGCTCTTGACACTTGTTCTTGGGGCCATAAAAGCAGAGCTGAAGAGAGAGAACTGATGTCCAGCTCTCCTCTAGGACATGGCCTGATTTGCTCTAGAAAGAATATTTTTGGGTTTGTTTGTTTCAGACTCAGACAAATGTTCAATCATCCCTCCCTCAATTAGAGTGCCTCATTTTATAACAAGTTGTGTTCACCAAATGAACGACACTACATAGTGTATTCTTCCTCCCACCTAACCACCTTACTTTGGGGCCTATTCTCAGGGCACAATGATGGATGCTTAGAGACAACATGAGGTGCCAAAACAGAGGGATGGGTCTTTGTTGAAACATTGGCATCTAGAGGTCTTCCTTCCTTCCTTCCTTCTCTCTTTCTTCCTCTCTCTCTCTCTCTCCCTCTTTCTTTCATATTGAGGTTTGAAATCATGGCCTTGCATTTGTTAGGCAGGTACTCTACCACTTGTGCCACTCTGCCAGCCCTTTTTTTATTGTTATTTTTGAGACAGGTTCTCCTGTTATGCTCGGTAGGCCTGCATCTCAGTCCTCCTATTTGTGTTTCCCCACAGTACCTAGAATGACAGGTGAGATGTCCCCAGCTTTTTATTGCTTAAGAACACTTTACTGGGCCTGTCCGTCCTTGAACCAAGATCTTCCTTATCTCCACCTCCCAAGTAGCTAGGCGTACAGGCTTGAGCCACCTAGCCTGGTTATCCTATTCTTTCTTATTCATTCTACGATTATTTATAAAATCTTTGTTTCATACTTGTTCTAAACTTTGAGGTATAACAGTGAACAAATTTACAAGATCTCTGCTCTTGTCAAGCTTACGTTCTAATTTTGGGGAGGCAGTCAATACACTTGTAAACTAGACGCCGGTGGCTCATACCTATAATCCTAGCTACTCAGGAGGCAGAGATCAAGAGGATTGTGGTTCAAAGCCAGCCTGGGCAAATAGTTCACGGGACCCTATCTCGAAAAAACCCTTCACAAAATAAAGATTGGTGGAGTGGCTCAAGGTATAGGCCCTGAGTTCAAGCCCCAGCACCACAGAAAAAGAACCCACTTGTAAATAAGATCATTTCAGCTAGTAGTAAGTGCCACGAAAGGAGTAAAGCAGAATATAACTGAATAACTAAGGAAGGTGGTAGATTTAGACAGATTAAATAGGAAAGACTTCTCCTAATAGGAAGGGCTGCCCCATAAAATACAAGACATGTAGTTTAATTTGAAAATTACAGGTAAACAATGAATAAATTTTTAGTGTAAGTATGTCCCAGGCAATGTTTGGAATATACTTATACTAGGAAATTTACTCATTCTTTATCTGAAATTCAAATTTGACTTGGTACATTTTTATTTGCTAATTCTTTTTTTTTTGGTGGTACTGGGGATGAACTCAGGGCCTGGCACTTGCTAGGTAAGTGTTCCACGGCTTGGGCCACTCTGCCAGCCCTATTTGCTAATTCTTATGCACTACCAGTAAGCAACATTTGAGCAGAGAAGAGAATGACCAGAAGGAACCAGCTTCGTAAAGATTCAGGGAAAGACAGAGGGACCATCCAGTGTCAACGTCAGAGGATGGTATGAATGAGGTCAGGTCAGATGAATAGGCAGGTGCCAGATCACAAGAATTCTGTTGGGGTGTTACAGAGTGTCAGTGGCTCACACCTGAAATTCTAGCTACTTGAGAGGCTGAGATCGGGAGAACAAAGTTTCGAAGCCAGGTCAGGCAACAAGTTCGAGAGACCTCCCCCACCCAATCTCCAAAAATAACCAGAATAAAATGGACTGGAGGTGTGGCCCGAGGGGTAAAGCGCCTGAGTTCAAACTTCGGTCCCACCAAAAAAAAAAAAAAAAAAACTTACTGTTTTAGAGCTGGAGTCTGAATCCAGGGCTTCGCGCATGCTAAGCAAGTGCTGCATCGCTCAGCTACACCCCAGCGTAATGTTTTAAGGAAGACGTTAACACGTTAACGTTAAGACTGACATTTGCCTGCTGTACGGTGGGCCATTTTCAGAAAGGTTTACAGGACAAGTTCTGAAGAAAAGCTTGTGCCATTGACCTGAAAGAGGCTGCTTTACTTAAGGTAGACCCAAATAGGAGCTCTGCGCTGCGCGTCCTGGGTAACTAGGAGGTTGCTATGGAGTGTCTGCTTGGCGGTTGCTAGGGCAGGAGGGGGCGGGAGCTCCACGCTGGGAGACATCTAAGCGGCGGGGGCGGAGCCAGAGGCCGGTGTGTGGCGGCGCGCGCTGCGCGTTCACAGGAAGTGAAGTCGGGGAGGAGGGGGAGTGGCGCGAGCGGAAATGACGTAGCCACGAGCGCGTGGTGTTGCGTGTTTCACGCGGGTGTCTTCAGCTGGGCCTGGGAAGTTCGGAGTTGGTTTACCCAAAGTTAGCCAGAACTGTCCCGGTTCCGTCGGCAAGATGGTGAAGCCCAAGTACAAAGGACGGAGCACCATCAACCCCTCCAACGCCAGCACAAACCCGGGTACGGGCGACGGGGCTCGGCGAGGGTGGAGCCTGGAGGAAGCGTGGGGGAGGCTCCGAGGAGGCCAAGAGGGAAGAGGGTACCTGAGTGGCGTTCCTTGGCGCGACCTCGAGCGCAGTGGCTCTTGGGGATAAGCAGGGTGAACGCAAGCGCATGTGCGGCTGTGCTGAGGCGGTCAGACGGTACCCCTGCAGGCCAGGGTGGAGTGGTCTGGCCTAACGCCGGGGGAAGTGAGCACGCTGGCCTTTGGCAGCCTTGGGGCCTCTTCAGCTGTGAGACGCGGAAAGTCAGATGAGAAGTGGAGGAGCCAGGGGTGGTGCGCACTGCTGTAATCCCACCACTCGGGAAGCTGAGGCTGAGATCCAGGCCAGCTGGGTTACATAACAGGATCCTGTCTTTAAAAAAACAACAACAAAAAAAAGCCAGACTCACCCAGGAGGCCCCTTACCACACATTGATGTCACCTTAGCTTTGACCATTTAAATGAAAAAGAGATCGTAGATGTGATCCTTGGAATCATTCTATCAGATAAAACGAATAGAAAGCCCTACAGATGGATAAATACGGTTATTTGAATACAAGTGTGTTTGGAAACGTCTAAGTTTTGGCGAGGTTCCTCCTACAGGATGAACAAGAGGATTGTTGGGGGAGTCCTTTCCATTTGGGTTTAGTTAATAAAACTTTATAAATATGGTTTAGAGTTTTTAACAACACATGTGAAATGTTTCCAGTTTGCATAGACTGGAATCTCAGAATGTTGACCCCAAAAGGCCCTCAGAGATTCTGATTTTGTTGAAGAAACTAAACCAAAATGGGGGAGGTGGCCTGTCATAACTGACACACTTGGTGTGAAGTACAGCCGCCAGTGCTTCAGGAGCAGAAAGGTGGTTTGAAGGACTTCCAAATGAGAGGCTAGCCTAGTATTACCTTGCTTAGTTGGCATTCTCTTTCCCTCTGAGATAAAAAGCAAGAATTACTACCTATTTTAAATTTCTTAACTAAGAAATTAAGAAACTGGCACATTAAAGATACATACGTATTAAAACTAGTCACCAGGGTGCCTTGCCTGTAGCATACGCCACAGAGGTAAGTACATGTCTAGGTGGTTAAGGCACAGTTTGTGCTCAAATCCTTGTGTTCAGATTCTGACTCGGCCGATTAATAGCTGTGTGACTTTTTGGCAAGGTGTCTGGGCACTATTGCTTTGATTTCTTGGCCTGCAGCATGGTCATAATGCATCTCTTTATCTGAGTATTATATGGATTAAATGAGATGATGCCTGTAATTCAGGTAGCATAGTGCCATAATTAGAGTTAAGAATGTTAGCTATCATCATTGGCATACACAGTACTATTGAAGTTCAAAGATTGCTTGAGTTTGTCATTCCATCCAGCTTCTAGTAAGTTATTGGAGTCATATATGGAGAAAGTAGAAACTGGTGTAGTAGCAGCTTGCTTAGTCTGGGTGAGCTGCTTGTTGCATTTTAAGCAGTGATCGCACTTATACTTGTTGGTTATCAAATAGTGTACTGTCTACATCTGCCTTCCTAGATCGAGTAGAGGGAGCAGGAGGTCAGAACATGAGGGACCGGGCCACAATTCGTCGCCTGAATATGTACAGGCAAAAGGAGCGCAGGTAAGCATTGGGTACTGTCATCCTTTCTTCTTTATGCCTTTGACTTTTAGCTGAGACCTGTTAAGCTTTTGCTGTTCCTACTCCCTCTTACCCCAAATGGGAGTTGTATATTTTCAATTATCATTTTATTTGAGTGTTGTGATAAATAATTAATTTTTGGTTAAAGGCATGGATAGCGGATGGTGAAACAGTGATTGTTTACAGTATTTCCCAACAAGTACAGGTCTCTGCAAATGTCACATTAAATCTCATCAGATTCATCAGAAATACAAAGCATATAGCACTAGTTATGAAAACTGTCAAAAAACTTGTTTTCTAGAGCCAAAATTTAGATTACAACATTGTGGCATTTGGAAACTCCTCATAACTCTGAGTTCTGCTGAGGCAGCCTCCACCCTAGGGACTCGCTGAGTGTGGCATTTTGCTAACTAGTCTTAATTTGTTTGGTAATTCGATTCTTCATCTCTTCTAAAAGATGTGTCTAAAACACAAACGTCACGAACGTAATCTGTTTTAGTCACCTACTTTGCAGTTTGTTTTAGAATTTTGAGTTCCAGGATAAATCACCCTCTACTTAAAATTCATTTAAACCAGCCTTCAAATAATTACCCACAAAACTCAAGTATGTGATTTTTTTTTTAAAGCAAACAAACAGTAAGTGGATTTTTAAACATCAGCATTGTTATTCATCTAGCAGAAATCATTACGTGCTCTGTTGCAAGAGGTTAAATGGCTTTTGGGCAATCTGTTTCAAATGTAGAAGTACTTTTTGTTTACTGAAGTCTGTATTTCATGATCATTTAAACCATCCCCCCAAAAAAGTCCTTTTGATGGAAAGGGTAGTCTGTAAGCCAAACTTTGCTGTTGTTGCTTTTCTTCTGTCATCAGCCAAAATCTGTTATTTCCTCAATTTAGGAACAGTCGTGGTAAAGTGATTAAGCCTCTGCAGTATCAGTCAACAGTAGCTTCTGGCACAGTGGCACGAGTAGAGCCAAATATTAAATGGTTTGGTGAGTATTGTCACCTATTACTTTGCTCTAAAAAATGTATGGAAAAGACTAGAATATTGAAATGTCTAAAAGGCAGAAGTTTTTGGTGAGTGGAACTGTCAAAGATTATATGAGGAAGGGATAAGAAGTACGCATACTGGAAAAAGTGCTGAGAAAAGTGATGAATTTCTTAAATCCTAAAGAATCCTTAAATTTCTTAAATCTTAAATCCTTTCTATTTGAAGAGAGTTCATCATTCTTAACTGTAATAGACCTGTTGCTACGACTCGAGCAGGTAAGAGCATCCTTAATGACTAGTGTTCACAGATCTTGGAATCTTCATTTCTTAATTTCTAGTGGCTTGGAGAGATTACTATTTGAGAAGTGGCCTTGCCAGGTGTGTTTGCTCCTTTAGCTCTCAGCAGAGTAGATCTCGTTTGTTCTTGGTCTCTCCTTGAGTGAATAGAGCATCACCATTCACAGGAGTATTGGGACTCCTTCCTGGCAGTATGGCTTTCAGCCTTGCTGTGTGATAGTCAGTGTTTACCTGGTGTTTGACCTCTGAGCTTAGGGACAGATGGCAATTATCTTTGAATATCTTTTATACCTTTTGATAAGAAAGATACTCCCTAAAAACTGCAACACAAAAAAGTGCGAGACTGGGCAAAAACTTAGTGAGACCCCCATCTCAGCCAGCAAGCTGGGTGTGTATACCTGTAATCCAAGTTACAAGGGAAGCTGTAGATGGGAAGATCACGGTCCAAGGGCTGCACTGGGCAAAAAGCTGGAGACCCTACCTGAAAAGTAACTAAAGCATTTCCCATCCCATTTGATTACCACATTTTCTCCTAATAATAGATTTTAGTGACTATGCTTATGGGATAGATTAAAGGTGCCATGATCTGAAGAGGGAGGAATCTGATCAGTATCCTTCTATATGAAATGGCTGAACAGAAAAGAAAAGAAAAATAACTAAAGCAGAAAAGAACTGGGTGTGGCTCAAGTGGTAGAACAACTGCCCAGCAAGCACAAAGACCTGAGTTCAAATATTTTGTACTTCCCCTTAGTCCTTCTTCCCCCTGCCAGCAAAATAGCACCATCTGACAGGATTGTTGTATCAATTAAATGAATAAATGCATATAAAGTGCTCAGAATAGGGCCTAGGAAATAGTGAATGTGGTGTAAGCATTAACTGCTGTCATCACTGCCTTGATGTTTATATTTGTGCTGTAGCTGCTGTTTAATTCAGTGCTTTCTTTGGGATCTCTCAGTTGTAAGGTATTCTCCAGGTAGTGTTTCAGGGCTTCATTTTATTCCCTTGTGTAGATTTAATGGCTAATTTAATAGTTCTTTCAAGCCCTTAGAACCCTAAAAATTGTAACTGTGACTCTTGAGTTTCTGAGTTTCAGGGTTCCCAGTCTATACAAAGTGGTCAACTGTGATTGGCTTCACATTTCTTTGCCATAACTAGCAGGAAAGTAGGACATTTGTCAAATCTCAGTCCATTCGGTGATGTTTATTTTTCAGTTTCATCCAGTCAGAAAACTGGGTTTGGAAAACTATTGAAACCCATTGTGTGTCAGGGTTGGTGGATTAGTACAGTATATGAGTGCTGGAGAGGCAGTTTTTTGGATTCTCCCCACACCCCCATCTTTGGAAACAGCTACAAGGAATGGATGGTTTAGAGTCATTTAAAATACTGCCTTTCACTGTATCAGAGGGGAGATGGATATAGAAGTAAAACCAGGTTACTTATTAAATGGCAAAATTCTTTATTTGTAAAACAGGAAACACACGTGTGATTAAGCAGTCATCATTACAAAAATTTCAAGAGGAAATGGATAAAGTTATGAAAGATCCATATAAAGTTGTCATGAAGCAAAGCAAGTTACCAATGTCTCTTCTCCATGATCGAATCCAGCCTCATGTAAGATGTAGAATATTCATACTGGTGGAATTTCTTGGGCAAACTCCATGTAGATACGTCTATAACTTATTTGTTTTAGTCTTTTTTTTTTTTTTTTTTTTTTGTGATACTAGGGTTTGAACTCAGCCTCATACTTGGATACTTGCTAGGCAGGCACTCTACCACTTGAGCCATTCCACCAGCCCTGAACTATTTGCCTGAGCTAGCTTCAAACCACGAATCTCCTGATCTCTGCCTTTCTGAGACTTCTCTTTTCACATTTATTAGAGTTCTCACCTTTAATATGAATTGAGTTTTGCCAGGCAGCTGCGGTGGCATAGTGGATCAAAACACAGGTTTTGAAATGAGACCTGAATTTTAATCCTTATCTGCCCCTTCCTTTACCCTTAGTTAGGTTTTTTTCCCCTGCCTATAAAGACAACTTGCTGTCTTGTGTGATAGGATACAGATGAAGTGGCTGTAAAGTGCTGGGCCCATAGTAAGCATATAGCAAACGACCTAATAAGAGCTAATAGATGGTAGCTGTTAGTAATATTATTTTTTTCTTGTGATCCTGGGAATTGAACTCAGGGCCTTATACATGCTAGGCAAGTGCTCCCACTGAGCTAATATCCCAAGCCCAATATTTTTTGTTATTATTTATTTATTTTGATAGGTAAACTTGTTTTAAGTGGAAATTTCCACCTAACTGGGGAACATAGAGTTAGAATTGAGATGGAAAGAGTCCTTTGGTGTTGTATGCTTCCCAGCTTTTGTAAGATCCTTAAAAATTGTTTCTGTGCAACTGCAGGAAAGGGTACTGTTCAGATTGGATGTTGATTGCTAAAGTTTGAATTAGTAAAGATTGAATCTGGCTAGAGTGGAAAGAGTTTCACATGGAACAAAGAAATGGCCTAATGTTTGCCTGCACATTTTTACTTGCATTGAATAATAATTCCCAGAAATGTAGCCAGTACATACGCTTCAGTTCCAGTATAAGGAGGAGAGGAAAACATTGACAAGCATACATGGATTAAACAGTTCAAAGAAAAGTGTTTACTTGGAGAACAAAATAAAAGCCAAGGCCTGGTTATTGCCTCAGGTTTTGTCAATTATGTTTTGTTTTATGATGGACTAGAAGAATGGCACCTATTAGCAGAATGACTGTTTTCTTTCAGGGAAACACATGAGTGTAATTCATGAACCACAGACAAGTTGCTCATTTCCCATGTTCTCTTTGTCTGTTCTCCCTAAAGCCATCTTCTGACCAACTATTGAATCTTGTTTCTGGGAAGAACAGAGAAGTTCTATTACGGATTTATTGCTTTGTTGCTCTTTCCATTTGTTTAGTGCTCCTAAAATTGAGTGCTTAAATAACTGATATGTAAGATGAAGGATCTGCAGTTGCAGCAGTCAGTTTATGTTTTGATGCAGGAAAGTACTCAGAGTAATTGATGAGTTTTCTGCTTTGGCCTTGAAAACCCTTACCTATTTTATTTTAATGTAATGTGACATACTATGAAATCTTAATTCTGAAATTGTTCTAAACAGGGAAGTCATTTCAGATATGCTTTAACTTTTACCCATTCAACTCTGTATGTTAAAATTATACTTTTCTATAGCAAAATGGCAAAAATAGTGTAACTTAATTTGAGCTCAGAGACACAAAACCATGTATACTGTATTGCATAAGTTACGAAATTTTCAAGGATAATTTTGGGCATACTTGATTCTAACTGATGACATTAGAACCTCATTCCCATAGAAAATGTGATTCTTCTGTTTGAGGATGTTCCCTTGATAAGAGGATAGCAAGTAAAACTAAAGTAAGGGATGGGTTTGTAAATCTGAGCCAATGATAGTCGTTTAAAGGTCTTTAAAAGTTGAAAGAACAATCAGTAAAAGTTCAGAAGCGCTGAGGTGACTCTGGTGAGAAGTTTTATAGTGGTGCTCACTGAGGAGCTTGTACTGGGAGGAAAAGGGTGTTGTTTTTTTTTTTTTAAGGCGATTCTCTGCCGGCTTTTAACATTCTGTTACGTGATAGATCCTAACTCAAACTCTGACTTTGATCCTGCTTCAAGAATTCCTATGCCTGTAACTCCTTTATAGGCACATCAAGTTCTAGTTAGTGTCAGGTTCCTCTTATCACATCTAACCTATTATGTTGGACTTTTGCTAGATGTTTTTCATCTGAAGACTTTCCATGTGTATTTAATAAAAATGTTACCTAAATTAGGGAAAATGTTATCTGAAACTAAAATGCATCTTACAAAACAAGCAATTCCTTTTACCCATGAAAGAAATTAACTTCCAAGAAAAAGTTGGCATTTACAGTTGGTTTAAAAAAAAAACACAAATTTGAGTATGATTGTCCCTGACAAAATCTGTAAATTTGGCAGATCTTATGCACTTGTTTGAAAACTCAAAAAAATGGTCAGAAAAGATGTTAGTTTTCATCATTGTAGCCTTAATTACATTTGACTAAAGTTTATAATAAATGAAGTAAAGCAGAGTTTTTGGCAAGTCTTACACAGCTGTTCATATTTGCTTTATTTGTATTACCTTTGCATTTTTCCAAGGAAGCTTACAGAACTTCAGAATAGAACAAGTGCTGTTTTATTTGAATAAGCATTTCTGATTTACAACCAGACCAAATCCATGTTCTTGTAGATTTTGGTATGGGTTGAGCAGCAAACCTTTCCCAAGTAGGTTTTTATTCACTTTCTGCTTTTTTCCCTGTGCTTTCCATAGTTTACCTGTAATTCTCTTTTCCCTTTAGAACTCAAAGGTGCATATTCTTGATACTGAAAGTTTTGAAACTACATTTGGCCCTAAGTCACAGAGAAAGCGACCAAATTTATCTACAAACGATATGCAGTCTCTTATAGAAAATGCTGAAATGTCCACTGAGAACTATGACCAGGGAAAGGACCGTGATTTGGTAACTGAGGACACCGGTGTGAGGTATGCTTTTGAAGTTTGTGCAGGTCCCATCATTTGCTCTTCTGTAACAAATTGGTTTTTTGTTGTTGGTAGTACTGGGGATTGAACCAAAGGGCTTCATGTTTGTACTCTGCCTACTTGAGCTATACCTCCAGCCCTTTTGTTTTGACATTATTTTTGGGATAGGCTCTTGCTAACTTTGCCCAGGCTGGCCTCTAATTTACAGTACTCTTGTCTCACCTCCCAAAGTAGCTGGGATTGCAGACATTTGTTACCATGGCCCCCAGATTAACAAAATGTTTAAACTTATTTTGCCTATGTGAAACTTGGTGATTCATGATTACCCTTTTTCCTAGACTAGAAATATTGTTGGAATCAAGGCCTTGCTGAAAATAATTAAAGTTGGTTTGATCGCCACACATCTATCTTCATCGCTAAATAAAAATAATAGTTTTGCTTAGAATAGTATTATATCCTGTCAGACAAATTGGAAAATACAGTTAAGGTGGAAAATGTAGCAAAAAGAAAATTCATAATCCCATTACTTCTTGTTAATACTTTGGTGACTATCTGGACTCCTGAGGTCTTTGAACCACTGGAAGTTCATGGCTGGCTTTGAGATTTCTGTGACCCTCTGAAGATAATGTGGAAGATTTATGAAACTGCAGAAGGTGGTGGGATTTTGTGGGTTTTATTTTTATTTTGTATTGTTTTGTTTTGGCTTTTTAGGTTTTTTTTTTTAATGGCACTGGGTTTTGAACTCAGGGCCTCACGCTTGCTAGGCAGGCAGGTGCTCTTACCTCTTGAGCCACTCCGCCAACCCTGTTTCTTCTTTGGGAAAGAGGGAGAGAAGAGTAAGGTTCCATAACTTTCATCATATTCTCAGAGTGATCCATACCTAGAAGAAGATTAGGAATCTTATCACTGATAAGTATCCTGGTAGGTCTTTTTTTTTTTTTTTTTGTTAACACTCATTTTCTTTCTTTAATGGAACTGGGGTTTGAACTTAAGGCTTTGTGTTTGCAAAGCAGGTGCTCTACCACTTGAGCCACTCCACCAACCCTTTTTTGTGTTAGGTATTTTTGAGATAGGGTCTAGCAAACTATTTGCCTGGGCTGGCCTCAAACTGTAATCCTTGGAGGAGAGGGGATAAAGGAGATTGAGGGAAAGGGGTGAATTCAGCTATGATATATTCTAAGAACTTTTGAAAATGTCAGTGTACCCCCAGTACAACAATAATATGATAATAAAAATTTTTTAAATGCAACCCTGATATCAACTTCCCAAGTAACTAGGATTATAGATGTAAGCCACCAGTGCCTGGCTTACACTCATTTTTTATTTACAGATAGAGTACCTTAAGACTTTGAACTTATTTTTATTTTTACATGTTTTCCTAAATCACGGAGTAGTAGCCAGGCATGATGATACATACTTGCAGTTCTAGTGCTTAGGAGGCTGAAACAGGAGGATCTTGAGTTTGAGGCCAGCTTGGGTTACTTAATGAGACCCTGTCTCAATAAAACCAAGGGTTAGGGATGTAGTTCCACTCTTCTGTGGATGGATGCTTAGATACAGTCACTTTTTAAATTCATTTGATTTTCAGTCTACCTGTGGTTTTGTTACCCTTTCTTTAGATACATTGACTTTTCCCTGAAGCATCCTTTTAATCTTGGTAGTGCTTCAGTTGCTCATTCTGGGTGCTTTCTTATTTAGAAATGAAGCCCAAGAAGAAATATATAAAAAGGGACAGTCCAAAAGAATATGGGGTGAGCTCTACAAGGTAAGACTCTTCAATTCTCATTGAAACCAGTACTGATTCAGCCACATACATACTACCATTGTAGATGAGAACATGTCCCAGCTCACTCAGCTCCTTGGGGAACAGGCTTTGCTTTGAATGTATATGCCAAGTCCTGATCTGATGCTCTTTAACTGACTGAGTTTTATACCTAGGAGGGAATAATAACATAGGAAGAGACTATCAAGCACAGTCACATAATGAAATGATACCATAATAGGAAATTAATACAATAAGGGAAACTAAGAAATGTAGTTTTCTGTCAAATATACACAACTGTACATAGTAGTTATAAAGCAAGATGGATTCTATCTAAGCTAGTTTTCCTGTTTGAAATTTGGCAGCTTTCAAACACAGGATGAAAACGCTTTTGAATTCTGATTGTTTAACATTGAGATTGGCTACCACCTATTCCTCACAAGACTGTTTTGCAATGGTCTCTCTCAATATTATTTTATTTTTCCAGGTTTCCTTAAATGTTGTCCTTTTTCATTTTGTATGTAGCATAGCAAACCATTTCCACCTCTTTGAATTTTCAGGTAATAGACTCATCAGATGTTGTAGTTCAAGTTCTTGATGCTAGAGATCCAGTGGGTACCCGTTCCCCTCACATTGAGGCTTACTTGAAAAAGGAAAAACCCTGGAAACATCTCATTTTTGTACTCAACAAATGTGACCTTGTTCCAACATGGGCAACAGTAAGTACAGCTACTAATCCAAAACAGACTATAAAGGCCACTCAGCTTGTGTAAAGTTTGAGTTATCCATTAATATATTAGTGTCATGGTTTCTAGAACTTTAAGACATTAAACTGTTGTGCTCTTGAGATGATAGTCACTGGAGTGTTCTCACTGAAAACAGAACCTAAGGCGTGCTGCATTGATGATAGGCAGAGGCACCTTTCATTCTCCTATGGTGTGTCGCAGCACAGCTGCAGGCCCCCCCAGGATAAAGATTGTGTACCTCTTCAGACAGAGGCAGCTGCCACTGTCCTGCTCCACATTGTGTTCCATTAATTGCATTTAGTAGCAGTAAGACATTTGGGGAATATTGTTTTGCATTTATGAGACAAAAGACACTGAGTGTCATACTTAAAAGAACATCTCAAAGAATTATAGCTAACATTTTTCCTTAGGCGACAGTGTATTTGAAACACATTGTCTTGTTATTCAAGCTCTGATTATTCCACATATTATAAATAAACAAGCTATAATTTACCAGCATGTTTTCTTCTCTCCCTTTAGAAACGATGGGTTGCTGTTCTCTCACAGGACTATCCAACACTTGCTTTCCATGCAAGTCTTACTAACCCATTTGGCAAAGGAGCATTCATTCAGCTTCTGCGGCAGTTTGGGAAGGTATGGAGACCTGAGCTGTTTCTTCTGAAATTGTGTAGCTGTTGAGTTTGTGTGAGAGTCTTCCTAATCACCTTGCATCATAAGTTGCCGACTTCTTCAGTATGTGTTCTCGAGATGTAAAAATTCATAGAGCCTTTGGATTATGAGGGATTGTGAAATGTTTTCTCATCCAATCCTTGTCTCTATCCTAGACCATCATTGCTTCCTTTCCTGCCACATCTCTGGCAACTTGTGCCTGAGGATGAATGTCCTTCCCAATTCTGTACCTTACCCTTACCTTTCAAGACCTGCCAGGATGCCTCTGCCCCTGTGGTAGCTCTGTCCCTCAGCCTGGAGGGTGCTAGAATCAGATCAGAGCCCCTGTCAGCTGTAATTCTCAGGATATCCTGGAACCAGATTGCCCTCTCAAATGGTCTCAAAGCTTCATGTTCTGTACCTGTAATTTTGAATTTTTGTATTTGATTAATTCTACCTGGCTTCTAACAAAAGACTTCTGTCTCCTATTCCATCCTTCCCTACTTCCCAGAAGCAAACCCTTTCCAACTCTTAGCTATCATTTCTGGTGGTGTCAGTATATGCTTACGATTTGATTTCTTGATCCCTCCAGCCCTCCTCCCAATTTTGCATACTTAATAACTCTGAAAAATGAGAATTAGGTTCTTTTGTTTGTGCATGCTAAGCACGTGCTCTACCTCTTAAATTATACCCGCAGCCAGGATTAGGGTTTTTAGTCATCCTCCCTCCACACATACTTCCACTCTTGTCCACTTTCTTTATACTATTGGACAACAATGTTAGGCCGCATTATTATACATTCAGGTATTAGAATATTATGATTGTGAAGTGCTAGTAGAATAGGAACCGTGAGAGCATTCAGGACAATAGGTAGTCTGCTTCAACAGCTAGTCCTTCATCCTCTCTCCAGTGGAAACTGGCTGCTCCAACGCCTACTATGATCTGTCTTGTTCCTGGGATTTCTTTTCACTATCATTCTGAGCATTCCCAGGGCTGTTCTCCTATATCAGATCCCTTTTCTTCTCTTCTGGTGTACTTTTTTTCTGATAGAATTTATTTTCCAAAAGTTTTCTGAGAAGAAAGAGGTACTTAGAAGGAACAGTTTTGGAAGACCTTGCATTCTGAAAGTATCTTATTTTACCCTCACACCATTGCTTCCTAAGATGTTAAAAGCACCACTGTACTGGCTTCTGATGTGGCTGTTGAGAAATCTGAGGCCATCTGACTCCTTATCCTTTGTGGCTGTGATTTAAAAAAAAATTCCTGTTCTAAAATTTCACAGTGATATGTCTTTTACTGGTTAGTGAGCTGGGTATTCAGTGAGACTTGTGGTTTGTTACTGTTTTATTTCTTTGAAATTTCCTTTTTTTTTTTTTTGCAGTACATGAGGCTTGAACTCAGGGCCTACACCTTGAGCCACTCCACTAGCCCATTTTCATGATGGGTTTTTTTGAGATAGGGTCTCAAGAACTATTTGCCCGGGTTGGCTTCAAACTGGGATCCTCCTAATCTCTGCCTCCTGAGTAGCTAGGTTTACAGGCGTGAGCCACTGGTGCCCAGCCAAAGTTTCTTTGTTTTTCTGTCTTTTCTGCTAGAGTTACATTTGTAGTGTATTTAGAAATGAAACCCAAGAAGAGACATATAAAAAGGAACAATCTAAAAGAATATAGGGTGGTTTTCTCTTTATATTTATGAATAAAGTGCTATGCTGGGCACAGAGGCAGAAGCCTGTAGTAGGACTAAGGCAGGAGAATTGATTGAGCCCAAGAGTTCAAAGACCAGTCTGGTAAGATAGTGAGAACCAACTCACAAAAAAAGCCAGCTTTATGTTTCATGCCTATAATCCCAACACTCAGGAGTCTGAAAGAGACAAAAAACAATCACCAGTTCGAGGCCAGCCCAGGCTATATAGGGAGAATCTTGTCTCACGAAAGGGAGAGGGACACCAAAAATTATATTGAATTTTTGTTTTGTTTTACATGGGATATGTTTGTTGTGGCATGATTAGATGAGGACCCAATTTTGTTGTTGGAGAATACTCTAAAGATCCCATTGGCACTAGGTCTTTTTTTTCTTGGGTTTGTGTCTCCAGGAAAGAATCTTACAGTCTTCAGCCCTGGGATATACAAGCCTGGATGCCAGGGCTCTTGGAGCTCTGTCAGAATAGGGGGTAGAGGGGTGATCTGTTTGATATTAGACTTTGAATTAATGACTTGGAGAATACTAGTTTTTTGCTGCTATTATATCTAAATTCGGTGTCTCTTTAGGTTTGAAAATTGAAGATATTTGCAGACATGCAGGGTTTTAGAAATCAAGATTTCCTCAGGCCCCAGGCTGCTGTTGGAGTAGGGACTGTGTGCCTGAATGGAGGGAGGAAGAGAGGGATGGAGAGGAGTGGCTGCTTTGGCAGACTTGCTGCCAATCCTTTGGTCTTCATTCCTGTCCTTAAAGGCATCTTCTGCCAGTTCTCCTGTTTAGTGATTCATTGACCTTATTATCATGAGGTTCTCAGTCTTTCTACCTTTGTAGTCACTTTGTTTTTGTATTGTGTAATGGGCCAAGTAAGATGCTACTTTTAGCTTCTTGTATTTAGTTTTCTCCATTGTTCCAGCTCCACCTTGTTCTTTGGTTTTCTGTATTCATTGCTATTGGTCTAAATGTGTTATTCCTACTGCTGTCATTCTCTTGGAGTTTGGGGAGTGAGTAAGGTCAACGCGTATGTTCAGTCTATCCTTTGTAGTCACAAGTTCCATCTATTTGTAGCCATCCTCCCTTTTTTTTTCTCCCCACAGGGAGTCTTGCTATGTTGCTCAGGCCAGCTCCAAACTGTTAAACTCATGAGATCCTCCTATCTTAGCCTTACAAGTAGATGGGACTACAGTCACCATGTCCTGCTAGTAGCCCTCTTTTTTTGGCAGTACTGGGGTTTGAACTCGGCCTCATACTTGCGAGGCATGCACTCTACCATTTGAGCCATTCCACCAGCCCTGTGTATATGTTGGGTATTTTCAAGATAGGGTCTCATGAACTATTTGCATGACTGACTTTAAACCATGATCCTCCTGATCTCTGCCTCTGAGTAGCTAAGATTATAGGCCTTAGCTTCTGGTGCCTAACTAGTAGCCGTCTTCTTGATAACAAGCTTAGCTTTGCCTCCTTGAGACTTTTATCCAGTGGTCTAATTTTTGGAGTTTATTTTTTTCCTTTTGCTGTTTATTTTGGCAATGAAAATGTGAAATGTACTGTATAAAGAAGTAGAGGGTTTGAGTCATGGGATTGTCAGTTGGTGAATCTGTTAAGGTTCTTTTCCCTGAACGTGTTTACTAGTGGATGAGGATGTTCTAATTAAAGTGTTTACCTGAAAACAAGGGTGATTTAAGAAAGTTGACTTAAATGGATGGATGACTGAAGAAATTTCTTGCCTCTGACTTATTAATAAGTATGGATATCCAGCTGACTCATGCTATGTTTGTGTGTCTGAGCTTCATATTAAGTTATATCAATGGTTTTTACACTTTATTTTTTATATTATTCTTTATATTACAAAGTAATGCAATTTGTTTGTCCTAAGGAATATTCATGCCTACATGTATGTGATGTGTATTCTCTTTTTACCCAGTTGCACACTGACAAGAAACAGATCAGTGTCGGGTTCATCGGCTATCCAAATGTAGGCAAGAGCTCTGTGATAAACACATTGCGTTCTAAGAAAGTTTGCAATGTGGCCCCCATTGCAGGTGAAACAAAGGTATGTCTGGCTTATAGGATTTCACTTCTGTATATTCTGTGTCTATGGAGAATGATTGTTTAACTAGTGGAGATTTCTATTTGCTTCTCTTTCTTTCTCCCTCTCTCTACCTCCCTCCCTCCGCCTCCCTCTCTCCCTCTCTCCCTCTCTCCCTCTCTCCCTCTCTCCCTCTCTCCCTCTCTCTTGGCAAGACTGGGAATCAAGCCCAGGGCCTTATGCATGCTAGGCAAGTATTCTGCCAGTGAAACACACAGCCAGTCCCTATCTGCTTCCCTTGAATAAAGATCACCATTGGAAGTTTAGTTCTGTATATGCTAGTTGGAATGTACCCGTTTTTTTCTAGCCACTTCGATAAGATTAAAAGTGCTTTGTATACCACTATGGTTGTGGCATGATTTGATTAATGCCATTCATATTTTAAATCTGTTTTAAATTGTCACTCCAATCTTTTACTTTACTTTGATAAACAAAACTAAAGAATATTTGATTACTGGCTAAGAAGGGAAACTCAAGTAGACTTTGAAAGTTGTACCTGGAACACAGAGTGTTTGGGGAACAGCATGGTTCTGCCTACAGGCAAAGAGACCAACAGTACTGTGTTTCCAAGAGTACTTTTAAAACCCAAAGAGGTCCACTGGGTGTGACTGTGCAATACTTAGTGGAAATGCTGCCTCCGCTTTATTCTTGGACTCTTAGCTGATGCAAACTCTAGTTTATACTTGGTGGAACTGTCTCATGCGGGGCACAAATAGAGGACTTAGCAGCTTGATGGCTCAGCAAGCTGATTGATGCCTCCCTTCCCTCCTTTCTAGCTTCATACCACAGCATCAGGGTTTTGTGGAGTTAAACTTTTCATATTTGACTTGGGGACATCTCTGACTTAGAATTTTCTGTCTGCAGGTATGGCAGTATATTACCTTGATGCGTCGGATATTCCTGATTGACTGTCCAGGTGTGGTTTATCCCTCTGAGGACTCAGAGACAGATATTGTCCTGAAAGGAGTTGTGAGTATTTGATCCTAGTAGCCTCTGCTTGCCTTTTACAGAGAGTGTTCTGTAGGAAACTCTGGAAACCTTCGCTTCTTCTCCTTAGGAAGGCAGTTCTGGGTCAGCCTGTCTAACCAAACTCAGGACATGATGCTGAACAGGGCATCATCTCCCAGCCTACCTGAGGAGATGGTAGGGCCATGGACACGATCTGGTTGGTAGCATCCCACAACACAAGAGCCAAAGGGAAGCAGGGCCTGTGTATGTTTAGTGATCATTCATCTTTGTGGGTTTATGGATTGAGTCATTTTGGAACCCAGTCACTTCCTCCCTTGTTTTTCAATACAACCAGAAATTTTAAATGGTTCCCCTTAACCTTAACCATGCTTCTGGCCATACATCCTGTGCACATTCCTCCCCTCTCTTCTTACACTCCCCCATTGTTTTTGTGTCCTAGGATTGGCAGATTTTTAACCATTTTTGCAAGTGGATAACACAGAGTGTTCCAAGTTCAAACTGCTTGCAGAAACCACACAGCTAGTTTGTGGTGAGCTGGGATTAAAGCTGAGTTCTGGGCTTTGTGGCTGTGGTCAGCTGTCAGTCATGCTCCTTGCAGCCGACCATGTCTAGCCACCTCAGACACAGGCTTCTGCCCTGTTCCACTTGCCTTGTGACGTTGAAATCCATTTCACATTACAAAGAACACTAACTACTTCCCTGTTTCCACAGTAGAGTTGGTAAGCAAAGGATTTCTATTGCCACCTAGGTTCAAGTTGAAAAAATTAAGAGTCCTGAAGACCATATTGGTGCTGTCCTTGAACGAGCAAAGCCAGAATATATCAGCAAGACATACAAGATTGATTCTTGGGAGAATGCTGAGGACTTTCTTGAGAAGCTAGCTTTCCGAACTGGGAAGTTATTAAAGGTGAGCCAGGATCTGTGAGGATTGGATATGGTATATTCTGCAAGCCAGTGGGGAAGTATGGACCTATTGTCTGAGCAGTGGGAAACTTGTTAAGTAGATGGTAGTGAGCATCTGGGACAGCTGAACTACTCCCAAAGTAAGAGGTGGTTTTGAGCCACTCTGGCCAGCCCGGTTTTGTTCTTTGAATTTAATTAGGAATTTTTCCTGACATTTCAGGGTGGAGAACCCGACTTGCAGACTGTGGGTAAGATGGTTCTCAATGACTGGCAGAGGGGCCGGATTCCCTTTTTTGTCAAACCGCCCAATGCAGAGCCACCGATGGCCCCTCAGGTAAGAAAGAGTGGACCCAGTTCTTAAAGCATGGTTACCAAGCCCGATTTGGTCGCCTCCTTCTATGGAGCGTCTTTTTCCTTTGTGGTAATATTTCAGTCTTAACCTGGAGTATCACCTCCATGGCCTGGTTGAGGGTAGCATTTGAGATTAGTAAGCAGAAGTATAATAGAGGCCAAGCTTAGATACCAGCCTTTAGGGCCTTGGGAAAAGAAGGCTCATTAAATGTAAGTCTTTTGGTGCCTCTGTCTTCTTACATGTGAGGGGCAAAGGCATTGTTAAGATTTATTTGTTGAACAAGCATTAATTAGAACCAATCATGTGCTAGGCACAGAAACAAAGGAATGAATAATAGCCCTTGTCCTCAAGAACTATGTGATCAGGTGGGAAAGTAAGAGCAGTACGGTTGGTGCTAGGGGAAAAAAGTCTTACATTTGGGGCCTCTACGCTAGGTCAGGAAGCTCTCTTGCTGTTCCCTTTATGTTACTGTGGCATTGAATTTGTCCAAGGCTCAAATGTAGTGCTTGGCTTTTCTGTTTCTAGGGCTTTTTTTTAGAACTCAGCCAAGTCTCATGCAGAAGTGGTTTTAGGTTTTGCATCTGTGCTAATACCAGATGCAAATGGTTTCCTTTTAGGAAACCATTTCCAGAGTTGCAGCTGTAATAAGGTATTTCCAGTCACATATTTTCCCTAGCATTAAAAAATTAGCATGCCTGAAATTGATGTTAATCTGCTTTTATCCCTCTCCCCTCTAAAACCACAACTGACCAAGCAGAACAGTTCTTTTCCCTCTTCTGTTTAGGTTAAGTCAATCATTCCACATTCATGTGTGGAGCATGTGCTGTATGCCAGGCACTCTGGGCACTGGTGATGCTTCAATGACATTCCAGTGTGTGGGTGCGGGTGTGGGTATGGGTAGGTGTGTTTGATGGCAAGTATTATCATTTTTCCACACTGATTCTGCAATTCTCCAACACCAGCTGGGTATCCAGAAATTCAATAGGATCCTGACATTAACTTTGGAGATAGTGCAGGTCTCACAAATTAAGAACCCAGTCCCGCAAGACTGCCCCCAGTTCAGGCTCCATCTGCAGATGTAGTTGCCAGACAGGCAACCCACACTTATACCCAGCTGACTACAAATTCAGTATTCTGGGGTATGAGAATTTGCTAGAACAATATGACTCAGGAAAGTGCTTTATTGTGTTGGAGGTGTGGCTCAAGCAGTAGAGAGCCTGCCTAGCAAGCAGGAAGCCCCAAGTTCAAATCCCAGTACCACCAGGGGGCAGGGGTGGGGAGGTGCTTTATTACCAGTTTATAACAAAGATGAGAAATAGTTGAATGGAAGCCATGCCCAGGGCAGGGTGTGAGGAAGAGGCAGGCACATCTGTGCACTCTGGGTATGCTTTCCTCCCAGCACATCTTTGAAGATGCCTCCTCACATACCTCTCCATAGTACTGTTCGAATCCTCACCATTCAGCCACAGTTTTGTGTTTTTATCTCAGCATCCCCTGATCGTTAACAGTACTCAAGGAAGGGCAAGGGCATCTTAGCTGTATTCTTAACTATTAGTTGGTTTCCCTGGCTCTGTGCTCTTACCTTTGGCGCTGAAGAACTGTTGCCATGATTCTCTGTAAGGATCAGATGTTCAGTTTACCTTTTTACAAGTTCAGACATTGAGTTTTCTTTTTCTGATTCCATTTCTCTTCTTGTCACCACCGCTTTTGGGCCTCAATAGCTTCCACCCTCCTCATCTTTGGAAGTTGCCACAGAAACAACCCAGAACAATCCAGAAGAAGAATCTTCAGAAACCATATGTGAAAGGGTAGAATCTGTCATTGAGAAAGAAAAAGAGGACAGTCCCTGTGATGCTAACTCAGAGATGCAGCAGATCCTCGCTCGGGTTCGCCAGAATTTCGGCAAAATCAATGTTGTGCCTCAGTTTTCTGGGGATGACCTGGTTCCTGTGGAGATGTCAGACATGGAAGAAGAGCTAGAGAGCTTTTCTGCAGATGAGGAGGAGCAGGAGCCACCAGAAGATGAGGAGGAAGAAGAGTCTTACAAAGACTCTCAGGAAGAACCAGTGGGAAACGACACCAAAGCAGTGATTAGAGCTCTGGATGAAAAGATTGCCAAATACCAGAAGTTTTTAAATAAAGCCAAAGCTAAAAAGTTTTCAGCAGTCAGGTAATATTTTCTTCATTTCACAAATTGCAGTTTGTTCCTTCCTTTCCCTAAAACTTGCCATGAGTACTGTTTGTTTTAGTTTTTTTTTTTATGATGTGGAGATGGAAACCAGGGCCTCATGCCTGCTAGGCAAGTGCTCTATTACTGAGCTACACCCCAGCCTAAGCAGTATTTTTACAGAGGGAGTGATTGCCATTTTAAAAGAGTGGAATTTATTTTTTTCTTTATCTATTTAGTTATTTTGTCAGTACTGTGGTAGCTGCCACTTGAGCCATGCTGCCAGCCCAAGAACAGAGTTTCTTTATCTTCAGGGGTGTTTCAGGGTGTCCCCAGGTTGGCCTGATTTGGGGAATTGAGAGAAATGTTGGACAGCTTCATTAATTTGCTTTTCTATTTTAGAATATCCAAGGGGTTGAGTGAGAAGGTTTTTGCAAAATTTGAAGAACAAAGAAAAACATCTGGGGAACAAAGAAAAACATTAGAAGAAGATATAAATGATACAGGTGAAGATAAATTATTTAAGTCATTAGGTATGATTTGCATCTTTAGAATTTTTGGAAACCTAAGTTTAATTTCCAAATTATCTCTTTTACTGTCATCTACACAAATACTTATCATATCTGGTAGATTCCTTTGTTCTCTTTTCTATTTATCATAGAAATTGGATTATCTGCTTTCTTTCTGCACATTTGTTAGGATTAAGTTGGCAATTCAGGAATCTTGCTTTTAAGAAGGGTGCATTATTAACCTTACAGTCTAAGGGAGTCTGCAGACAGATTGGGACAGAAGGTGTTCCATGTATTTCTTCTTTCCTCCTTTTGACTGATAGCTTCCACAGCAAGAATGTGTTTACATGACAGTAGTGCAAACCCTGCTGTGATCTTTGAGGCCTATGCTGACCTGTGCCCTCCCAAGCTCATTCTATTTTGCTCACCCACTATACCCACACTGGCCTTCCTCCTCCTCCTCTTGACACATCACGCTTATTCCAGTGTAGGAGTCACTGACAAATTTTGAAAATTCCTGGGTTCCCCATCCCCTCTCCATGTTTTATGTATTGCTTGTATCCAGCACGTACCAGAAAGGGACGGAAGCGGAAGGCACAGAGAGAGGAGGAACATTCGAATAAAACTCAAAGGATGCTGACATCAAAGGAAGTAAGTGTTCTGGTTATTTTATAAGACCCAGGTATAGAGTGTAGACACAAGTTCAGGTTTACAAGACCCACTTTCTGAATCCCAGGAACCTCCATCCTCTGGGACCTGCTTGGGGTCATTTAAAGAGGATCAAGAAGCCAGGCACTGGTGGTGCACACCTGTCATCCTAGCTACTCAGGAGGCAGAGACCAGGAGGATCGAGGCACAGGCAAATAGTTCTCAAGACCCTATCTCAAAATGCTGGTGGAGTGGTTCAAGGTGTAGGCCCTGAGTTCAAACCCTAGTATCACAAAACAAAAAAACTGGATCAAGAAGTAGCCCACTAGGTAGAAGTCTTAAGTTGGTGTCTAATGTTTCAGGACTTTTTGGGTCACTATCTTCTAACCTGTGGCCTATCAGTTAGAAGAGTTGGGTTGTTTTGTGTGTTACCAAGGAAATGACACAGGAGCAGAGCAGGCTAAGTGCACAGATCACTGACCTCCAGGAAGAACAGGGAAATAGTTTGTCAGAAATGCTACAGAAAGGATTCAAACATTGTGTAGCTTTGACCAAAATACCTGAGAGAGCAATTTAAAGGAGGAAAGATTTTGGCTCACAATTTTAGAGAATTCAGTCCATGTTCACTTGGCCCTGTGTGCTTAGAACATGGCGACAGGAGTGTGGGCAGGGAAAAATTGTTCACCTCATGGCAGATAGGAAGCAGAGAACAGTATTGGCAAAGGGGCCAGGACAAGATAAAGTCCCGAAGACATATCCCCATTGACCTGCTTCCTCTAGTCGTATAGAAAGTTCCACCACTTCCTAATAGTCGATCCAAATTTTGAATCCATCGATGAATTAAACCATTCATTAAGTAGAGCCCTCATGATGTAATCCATCTCTAGAAATACCCTCACAGACATACCCTGGGGTATGTTTACTAATATCCTTGGTGTTTCTTAGTCTAATCAAGTTGACAATCAGAATTAGCCATCACACACTGAATGAGGGTTGGATCAAATGAGAGTCTGTAACTCAATCATCAGGTCAGAAGGGAGGAGAAAACTCAGGTCTGTGAGGCACCCCCCCACCACCACCTTACTTCTGCTTCTAGTGCCTGCACAGAAAATGGAGCAAAGGTGAAAAACAGGATCCAGTTTTTTGACTTTGTGTGTTTATTTTTCTCTTGTCATTTTTTGCAGCGGAGGAGAGCAGTGCGGCAGCAACAATCCAAAAAAGTTGGTGTGCGCTACTATGAAACACACAATGTGAAAAATAGAAACAGGAACAAAAAGAAGACTAATGACTCAGAGGGACAGACACACACACACAAAAAATTCAGACATAAGCAGTAACATCTAAAAAGTTGTTTATTAAATTATACAAAAATATACAATTAGAAATTGTGCTCATTTTCTTCATGTCTAGTTGACATTTCTAAGGCTGTAATACACTTGCTCTGAGGGTTCCCGTTTGAAGCCATTCACCAATGTAGTGAAAATAAAGCCCCTCAGCTCTTATTCCTCCATCCACTCCATTGGCACTTGGATGGGACTTCAGTTCCTCCAAAATCTGACCCTGTTGTGTGTCTACAGAAATAGTAGGTAAGGTCTACAGAAGCATGCAGATTAGTGTTTCTTTTGTACTGGTAAGGAGTAACTTGGGATAAAAGCATACAAATCTTGTGAGAAAAGTATTTTAATAATGATAGTATACAGGTCTGGGCTTTAAAATATGAGGGAAAAGCTCTAGTGACTTCTGTCTCAATTCACTGAGTTTGTTAAATGAGCCCATTAGGATATGCATGCATTACTATTGAAGAGTCATGGAACCAGCAGATCTCAAGGAAGAATTCTTTCCCAGGAAGATGTCAACAGGAGCAAGCCACCTTAGTGAAGACTTAAGGATACTGGATGAGGGTCAAAGCTGTGACTTCCAGTTTGAGGTTAGAGTACTGGGGTGTGTTTGACTCAGAACACAGCTTTTCTTATGAGTTCTTCCAGTGATCCCTAGAACCCTGACCAGGACAGATGTCAGAACAAAGTTCTGCCAAGGAATGAGTCCCTTCTTGCACCTCTTTGGGGGAACGTGAGCACTTGTCATTCCAGCTGAGTGGATATGCCTCCAACTAGTGCCTTCTTACAAACGGTACTTGTGAAACTTGACTGAATGGTGGACATCCAGCTTGCTGCCCTAGCCCACCCTGGCTGCCCTGAATAAAGATTTATATTGCTAACTCAGTCTTCTTAGTCTATGAAGGCTGTCTTCTGGCCCACAGCCTGATGACTAGTAATTGGAACTGCATGTGAGACGTGGTTACATCCCCAGCTGTTAATTAAACAGCTAATGGGGGAGGGGTGGAGTCAGGGTTTGATGCTCTGCAGAACAAAGGGAACAAATGGTGTAGGTGGTTGGGGAGGAGCTGAGGCGTGGACAGCTCACAAAGGACACTGGGACTTGTATTCCTTCCTAGCAAGCATTTACTTTTTCCAAAGCTGTGGGTTTGCCTCTGCCAGTTTCCTAACCTAGGCAGGCAAACTGAGGAGGAAGGGATCCCACTAAGTAGGTGGGGGGGATACAATGATGCAGTATAAAACCAAAACTCCAAAATGAGTTATTAAAACTTGCATTGGAGTAGGGATGAAAATGGAGGGTAAGGCCAGAGAAGCCTGAGTTAGGGTACAAGATGACCTGAACCAAATACTTGGCCAGAAGTGGGTGGAATGGAGTGATCATGGTTGAGAAGTTGCTTCTTAACACTATTGAGTTGACAGATGCCCAGCTTGACAAGTAAGTTGCATGCTGAGACTCAGGGTTATGCCAGCTTTCATTGTCCAACCAGAAGCCTGGCTGCCAGATCCAGGGTGTTTCACGACACTGGGGCAATACCGTTACTTCCGACAAATACGTAGGTGGTGATCAGGGGAGGGGATGGCTTGTTCACTCAGGAAACTAGCTTTTTATTACAAAGGGCTTGTGATAGGGTAGTAGTGCTCGCTGAGGCCCATGTGGAAATTATCACTTCTTTGGTGCAATAATGCCTTCCAGTTGGGCCTGAAAAACAAAAACAAACTCCATTAATACTTGCAGCCTAACGCATAGCTGAGAGGTGATAAAAGTCTGGAAAGAAAATCCAAATGCCAATCGGGTTCTTTTCCCCCTCCCATCCCAACTCCATGTTGTCTAGATTAGCTGGTTTCTGCCTTGGTAGCCCTGCTACATTAGAGAGACTGGAGCTGTCCTCATTCCCATGCAACAATAGCTCAGTGTATAACGTAAAGCATTAAAAAGGAAATTAAATGAAAGTTGTTGAAATAGTAGTTTTTCATTGCTCAGATTTTAGACCTGAATATGTCTGTTAAGTTAAACATTTGGCTGGCTGGTTTAGGATCCTCGGAGCTCTGCTGAGACCAGAGGTTTTGGAAATAGCAAATTATCAGCCACTGAGACAACTTGACACCCAATTAGAGAAAATTGCTACCAGTAAGCAGGGAACTGTCCATCTTCTACGTAAAGCTTAAGTCACTTGGGAGTTATTTACTCTGCTCCTCTGGCAGCCAGAGCAATAATTTTTCTATTATGGTATGTGAACAGATCTTTAAGTAGTTCTATCCTGGGATCTGCAAACACTGCTTTATTTGCAGTGCGGCTTCGAGCCAATAAAAATAACTCACTTGTAAAGAATCCTTCACCCTGGGGATCACAAGTTTGTCTTTGAATATTAGAAAGATGCTAAAGTTTCCGCTTTGCTCGTGTTGCTAATACCATAAGGGAAACTGAGAAACTGGGACTTAGGACAAAGGAATATAGCAGATAAAGGGATATGGCAGGGAAGCAGCTTCAGAAGCTGCTGAGTAAACGTTGCAGCTGACTTTGTGTCTAGCTGTTCTTTGTTTCTGTTAAATGCTTCACCCTCCATTGGCAGTTAATACAAAGCTATACTTTAAGCTGGGCACCGATGGCTCACACTTGTAATCCTAGCTACTCAGGAGGCAAAGATCAGGAGGATCTCGGTTCTAAGCTAGCCTGGGCAAATAGTTCATGAGACCCTATCGCAAAAAAAACCTTCACAAAAAAGGGATGGTGGATTGGATCAAGGTGTAGGCCCTGAGTTAAAACCCAGTACTGCAAAAAAAGAAAATGGCCATAGTTTTGGTTTGTAGAGCCAAGATGCCTGTCAATCTCAAGACTGTAAGGAGGTTAGGGCCACGGGAGGAAGCTTGCTCAAACCTCAGCAAGCACCAGAACCTCCTGAGGCCTTAGGACAAATGGCTAGACCCAGCCCCATGGTTTCTGTTCAGCCTGTCTGGAGTGGGCTGCTAATCTGTGATAAGGATGATGCTGGTCTGCGGCTCAGCCTTGGAGAGCTGGCAGCCTGGCCTGCCAATCAGCCCTTTTCACCAGTCCTCCTCCCTCCCAGCGTCAGCTCAGTTGGCTAAATGTGTGCCACAGCAAGTGGGCTGAGGAAAACCACCTACAGCTGTGTTCCTCTGACTACATGCCTGCAGGAAGCTCCCCATTCCAAGAGGTTTTTCCTCAGGAGCTTTCCTGCCTGCCCATCCATTCTTCCTGCTCCTCTGCTTCTTCCCCAGACACTGGACACCAGGGGGAGAGTACACGTCTGTCAGAGCCTACAGAAGGCTCCAAAGACCAGCATCAAGAGGGAAAGCAGCTCCATATTCTGCCATAACTTCTCCTTCCAGGGGAAAAAATTCCCCACTGGAGAGTCAGGTTGAGGCGTCACAGAGGAGATAAAGAGGTTACGGTTGAGAATAGAGCCTCTCTACAGCCAGAGGAATGGAGAACTTGAGTAAGGAGCCCTCACCTACCGCCAAAGTCAGGCTCCCTTTACTCCTCGGCAGTGCATGTGGACCAACATTAAGAAGCCATAGGTAGCCAGGTGCCGGTGGCTCACACCTATAATCCTAGCTACTTAAGAGGCAGAGATCATCGAAGCCAGTCCCTGGCAAATAGTTGGTGAGACCCTATCTCAAAAACACCCAAAACAAAGTAGGACTGGTGGAATGGCTCAAGTGGTAGAGCACCCACCTAGCAAACCCCAGTACCACAAACAAAAAAAACCATGGGTGGAGGTGAATGCTGGTGGCTACTTGGAAGGCAAAATGGGGAGGATTGAGGTTCGAAGCCCACCCTTACATTTGTTGATCGACCTCCATCTCTAGAATAACCAGAAAAAAATGGACTGGAGGTGTGGCTCAAGTGGTAGAGCACCTGCTTTGCAAGTGTGAAGCCCTGAGTTCAAATCCCAGCCCCACCAAAATGAAAAAAGAAAGTCATGGGTGAAAAAGGACCTAAAGATCTGGCCTGTGGAGCCAGGCCAGGAGCCCGAGCTGTGGTGGGGCATCTCTGCCTGCGCCTGCACCTCCATTACCTTCAGCTGCTGATTTGTACGCTTTAGGAACTGAATCTCCTCATTGTGCTTCTTCTCCTCCACCTGTCGCCTCTCACTCTCCCGCTTCTCTGTGGCCTCACATTTCGCCTTCTGCTCATTCACTTGCCTCTCCAAATCTCTCTTTTCTGTCTCCAAATCTGCAATCTGAGGACAGAATGCCCAGTCATCCTGGGCTGTTGCCAAGTTGGCAGATAGTTTGATGGTCTGGGTAAGGGGAGACTTGGGACACAGCTGTCCAACCCAAGACATTGCCAGGGTATGTACTGCCACCCAGTGGGAGGTCAGTGACTGGCATGAAGTGTCCTTAGACAAGACCACCAGGCTGGCCTTTAAGCCTGAGCAAGAGTCCTCACTGAGGTGCAGGTCCAGAGTCACCAATGTGAGGAAGTCACCCTATGGGTCAGAATTCAGTGCTGCAATGACAACCACATTCCCTGAGATTGACAGAGGGGTCTCAGAATAATGGTCATGGTAAATCCCACTCACTTTCCTCTCCATGTCTGACTTTCCCTGTTCAGCCTGCAGTGCCTTCCTCATGCCAAAGGCCACACTGCTCTCGTACAAGGTCTGGTAGGCAGCGATGGTCATGCGGATCTCATCCCGGACTCGCAGCAACAGCAACCCCCTCTCCGCACAGTTGATGGTCACCTCCCGTATCAGCTCATCTGATGTGCACACAAGATCGGAAATGGCAGGGGCAAGGGGACATGCACCTTGTCTATGGAAAACCACCCTTTCTCTTGGGAATGGCTCTAGGATGTGTTCTTACTTGGAGACAGGTTTCAGAGAAGACCCAAGAAGACTGGCCATACATACAGCCATGCCTCTGAATTCAGCACGAGGTGGGCAGCGTGCAGTTAGCATGCCTGGCCAGAGCAGAGAGAGACTAGAGCCCCAGGTTTGTTTGTAGGGTCTAGTCTAGCTTGCCTACATCTCTCCTCCATAAACACTGATAATGGAGAACAAACCACACACATACCAAGTCAGAGGAGCAAGCATGCAGTTGCCTGAGAGTTTGGAGATGGTCTGCAGATCAGAGTCCTTAGGGCCAGTGAGACTGGGCTGGAGGACAACCATGGACACCAGCACTCAAGGGAGCACATCTTAAATCCCTTGTGTCTACTGAGTAATAACAAATAACTGCAATATTTTTCTAGACTGAGGGCCAAATGTTGATAGATGTATATGTAGAACATTAACTTTTTTCTGACTAAAAATTAAGCACATGCTTATTAAAGAAATATTTAAAAAACAAATATTTAAAATGAAAGTTCTTGGCTTACTCCAAACATCTGAGAAAGGAATAAGGTACCCAGATGGTCAGGAATAGTGACTGGCAGGTGGGGGAGGAGGTTCTGGGAGGAGAAGGGGTACATTTAGTAGTTACTGAGTAGGTCAGGCAGGAGGAGAAGCAATGATTCCAGGATGGGGTGATCTTCAGCTTTGGGGTGCTCAAGGTTTGGATCTGTATTGAAGGAGAAGGGAAGGAGGCAGGCGGATGTGTAGTGACCACCCCATTGGGCACACTCACCAAAGCATTGAGAGTAGAGCTCCCTGCGGACAGGGCAGATGCCTGTCTCCCTGGCCTGTCGCTGCTGTAGCTTCAAGTCCAGCTGCTCCTGGAGGTGCACAACATCCATCCTGGTGCTGGGGGTGCTGGACACCTGCTGGATCCATAGCTGTGTGTCTTCCACCCACTCCCTGTGGAACAGACACAGTCAGGCTGAGCAGAGCCCATGATCATAAAGCGTCCTCCAGACTTGAGCAGAGAGGGCCCTTTGAACTTTTGGCCCGAGCAAGAGTGAGGGGAGCTCTGCCAACATCTGACCAGAACATTCATCCGTCTTTTACTTGGATCAGACTTTTTTTGGGGGGATGGGTGATAATAGGGTTTGAACTCAGGGCCTCATGCTTGCTAGGCAAGCGCTCTACCACTTGAGCCACTCCACCGGCCCTCCTCTTCCACTTGGGGTGTGGGCTCCAAAGCCACACCCATTATGCTGCTTCCACAGGGACCCTACATTGGGGCTGGGTAGGTGTATGGGCCTTCTCCACTCTCCACAGATCCTCCATGAAATCATCATCCACTGTTCTAGATCTCACCCTGCTAGCATTGAAAACAGACTGCGGTCCTGCTGCTTGATCTGAACAGAAGGCCCTGTGGGAATTTCCATCTGATTTTGGGGGTAACAGACAGAGGATTCCATAAATCTTGTCTAAGTCAGAAGGAAGCATATGTGTTTTGGGAGTGGGGAGTGTCTTGAATCCATGTGTGTACACAGGCTTCCCATAATGAACCTCGTGCTGGAGGGATGGCCAGGTTCCAGAGTAACAAGAGAGCTTGAGAACAGACTGCCATGGGGAAAGGACTTCTGTGCCTGGTGGAAGGGAATCAACTAACAAATTGCCACCCCTCCCCCATCTCAGAGGCGATCACAGTCTCTGTTTCTCTGTCACAGCCTTAAAAATTGTGCTGTTGATTTATTACAGACAAACAGTTGAAAGGGATGTCTGTGTTAAATGTAGCTGCAGAGGCAAAGCCGGGTACAGGGAGCATGTTAGGCAGGGCTCGTTTATACAAGGTCCCCCAGGAAGACAGGGAGGAAGGCCTGAGTGGAGAAATGGTGAGAACCAGAGAGATCCTGAGGGGAGAGCATCCTTGGCAATGAGAACAGTCAAGGTAGGAGAGTCAATGAGGTGTTCAGAAATGATGAGCAGAAGCCCCTGTGGCTTTAGCACAGTGAACAAGATGGAAAGTACCAGGCAATGAGCGCAGGGACATGTCATGGCCAGATCATGCCATGTCTTCCAGGCATTCTAAGAACTTTGTACTTTAGTCTGAGTGAGGAGGGAAGTCATTGCAAGGTTCCTGGTAGACTGACCTGGTCTGACTGACAGTCAAGGGACTGTATGGAGAATAGAGTAGAAGAGCAAAGAACAGAAGCAGGGTTTTCAGACAGGAGGCCACTGTAGTAGTGCAGGTGGCAAACAGACTGGGAACAAGATGGCAGAGGCAGTAGTGAACAGTGATTGGATTTTTTGAAATCAAAAAATTTTGTCGAAGGATAGGAAACATGGCAGAGATTAAAAGCAATGAAAGGGCCTGATGTGATATTGCACAGCTATAATCCTAGCATTCAGGAGTCAAAAGCAGGAGGGTCTTAACTTTGAGCCAGCCTGGGCCACATAGCCATAATCTATCTCAAAACAAACAAACAAAAAAGCGATAAAAGGTGGCCTGAGTCCCTATTTTGAAAAACACTGGGATGGGAGAAAGTAGCAGAACACATCGTCTGGAGTTTAGGGGAGAGGATGGCGCTGGAAACACACATTTGGGAGACATCAGCAGATAAATGGCACCTAAGGTCATGAGCTTGACTGAGAACACTTAAGAAATGATGGCAGATTGAGAAGAGGTTTTCTGTCACCAGGAAACCTTCACCCAGGATCTGGAGGAAACCCCCACCCAGGATCTGGAGGAAACCCCAGTCAGACACAAGGGTAAACAGCCTCTCCCCCCTCCTCAGTTCAGGGACACAAATGCCTAAGCCTTCTCCCCTGTCTCTACTTTTTTACCTTGGGGGCAGGATGGCATTCAAGATTTCTTCTGCCTGCTTGGTAGGATCTGGGACACAGGAAGTTGAGGCAAGCTTGCCCTTGGGCGGCTGTGGGACTGGACCCGAGGGTCCAGGCTGCTGGGGGCTGACTTTCAGTGGTCGAGCCTGAGAAGGGACAGGTGAGGACAGGAGATGATTCAGTTACTCAGCACCACATATCCCGGCCCTCTGAAATATTCCATTTCCTGTATATTTTGCCCCATTCCCAGCCTGCTTTCCTCATCTGTCTTCCCAGCAGAAATGCCCAAGAGCAGAAGAAGTCCACAAAGGTTTATGGTCCCAACTGAATGGCTGAACAGATGTTTCTGACATGAGTGCTCTCACGCCTCGAGTGATGGGGAAATCACTACCTGATCTAACTTAGACACCACTATCATAAATAACAGAGCCCCATCCTTCTTCCCAGTGACTTACTTCTCATCCTAAATCTGTCCTCTGGGTTCACACCACCATCTGGACTCCTTGTATTACCCTTCACCCTCTTTTGTCATCCCAATTTCCTTTACTGTCAATCGCTGTAATCCCTTTCCCTTGAGATTCCCAAACCGCAGTGGTGGGGGGTGGGGGTGGGGGGGTGGAGAATGTGTCTTTCTGCATCAGAGCTTCCAGGCTCCCCCCACCCCCTGAGACCTGGCCTTACCTTGGGGCCCCGTTTCTCCGTATTCCGGCTCACCAGCACAGGGGTGTCATACTTGAGCAGAGAGTCCGCAGGGGGGATCATGGCTGCAGCAGGGGTAGCAGCTCAGCAGCTGCCCCTCCAGTCGCTGCCTTGTTTGCCGTCACCATGGAAACCCCCTCTCCCTGACCTTTGGCGGGGCGGGGCTTCGAAGAGAGGCGGGGCCAGCAGCGCGCGTGTTTCCTTCTGCGCAGCCTGAGCCAAAAGCTCTTGCGCTTGGCTTCTTAAACCAGATGGTCCAGGCGCTGTGACAAGAAGGGAAAACTGGGGTTCGAATCCCTGCGCTGAGTCTAGTTCACGATGTGAATGAGGTGGGTAAATCACCTTTGCTAAGCCCTAGTTTTGTAACTTGCAAAACGGGAGTCATTTCCTGACTCATCAGAGAAGGGTGGAGGATGATTTTCAAAGGAAGGCATCTGGTTTTCTTTTTCTTTTTCTTTTCTTTCTTCCTTTCCTTCCTTCCTCCCTCCCTCTCTCCCTCCCTCCTTCCCTCCTTCCTTCCTTCCTTCCTTCCAGCTAGGATCTCGCTTTCATTTTGTCCAGGCTGGCCTCGAACCTCCAAATTCCTGATCTCTGCCTCTTGAGTAGTTAGGATTACAGGTGTGAGCCACAGTGCTTTTTTAAGTATTAAAAAAAAAAGGATCACCGGTTTCCTGGTCCCCCTGCATTCTCCAATATGCAGTCTTTCTCTTCTCTTCTCTACAAATAAAATCTTTCCGACCTCTGCAAAAAAAAAAAAAAAAAAAAAAAAAATCAGACGGAGAGCCAGATGTGACAGTGCAGACTTGTAATCCCAGCACTTGGGAGGTGGAGGCAGGAGAATCAAAAATTTGAGGCCAACTGGGTGCCGGTGGCTCACGCCTGTAATTGGATTCTAGCTACTCAGGAGGCAGAGATCAGGATGATCGTTGTTCAAAGCCGGGCTGGGCAAATAGTTTTTGAGAACCAATCTCAAAAAACCCATCACACACACACACAAAGGACTGGTGGAGCGGATCAAGGTGTAGGCTCAGAATTCAAAACCCAGTACCACAAAAAAAAAAGTTTGAGGCCAGCCTAGGCTACATAGTGAAAGCCTGTCATAAATAAGTAAACAAATAGGAATAAAAGTTATAGAGGGAATGAATATAATCAAAGTACAATAGATTTTTACTTAACAAAGACCAGGCTTATAAACTATACTCTGGGGGCCAGGTGGACCTGATAATCATTTGTATATTGTAATTCTTTAAACCTACCCTGGCCATGACATGCCCTCAGCTCTGTAGGCTGGACCTACAGATAGAAATTTCTTACAGGTAATCTCAATAGATACTCAAACCCAAAGTCTAATATTGTCCTTCTCATTGTGGAGATCTGCTTTCAGTCCATTGAAAGTCTATTCCTTTCCTGGGCTGGAGGTGTGGCTCAAGTAATAGAGTGCATGCCTAGCAAGTGGGAGACCATCAGTTCAAACCCCAGAACCACCAGAAAAAAACATATTCCTTTCCTAATAAACTTTATTATTACTTTCATTATATTTATGTCTTGCCTGAATTCTTCCCGCATTGGACACTTGAATGAATCAAAGCTGTGTCGACCTTCTTGTAACAGACATACCACGATGAAATCTTTGACTTTGCACAACTAATATACAATAATTCAAAAATTAATGGAAAATGACAACATATCATAAAGATAAGGAAATGAAGGGGAAAAAAATACTGATTTGCCCATGGGTTACTACGTAAGATACCTATGATTTCATTTCTTGATAGAACAATAATGTCGCCATTTTGTGAATCGGCCAAAATGGCAGCCCCCGCCCTTAAACAAATTCCCGCGCTCTAAGGCAGCTCCACCCCTACCAGAGACTACTGCGCATGCCCTAACCGCCTTACCCTCCCCCTTCTATAAAAGCCACTGCTCGCCTAGGCTCTGGGCTGCGCCATCTTTTCCCCGGCCACCCTGGCAGTTTGGGCCTGCCATTAAACTTTGCTCTATGGACGTGAGACTTTTCTCGTGAGCTTTCTTTGAGAGCAGCGTTTTTCCTAACATTTCTGATCTTTCTTTCCTTTGCGTTTACAAACTTAAATGTAATGTAGTTGGGAACCATTTTGTATTCTTATGGTATTTTCCATACATCATGTAGTTTTTAAATGGCATTACTAAAGGCACACACCATCCCCTAATTGGCTGAAGAATTCCATATTGCTAGGCACTTGTGTTTTGTAGTTACTAATAACAGCAACAAACAGCCTTTCAAGGGATAGCTTTTCCCCAGACGTTTGCTTCTTTTCTTTAAAATCTAATGAGAATTCCTTCCAACTGGAAATTAAGGAGATTTAATTATATCTGACATATCAACATAATCATGCCTCACATGTTAGATTTCTATCAATTTAATGCAATTTGAAACATTAATATTATATCCACATAAAAACAACTTAAAGGTTAAACATCTTTTTTCAAAGCTTAATGCGTTTATTTCTACAGGGTTTGTTTTTTTTTGGGGGGACTGAAGTTTGTTGAGCCACACCTCCAGCCCATTTGGAGATGGGATCTCCTGAACTATTTGCCCGAGCTGGCTCCCAACTGTGATCCTCCCAATCTCAGCCTCCCAAGTAACTAAGATTACAGGTATGAGTCACCGGTGCCCTGCTGAGTGAGGAAAGCGAGCCTATAAATAGTGAAAAGGGGGAACCAGTGCTATATGGCCTGAAGCAAACGGTGTAAATAAATTTAACAAGGTAGAGTTGCTCAGGTTTTTTAAAAAATCAAAATAAAACTAATTACAGACAGTACAACTGTTCATTGCAAGAGTTGGGAGAGGGAAGTATTTAATCCCATTTTGATGCTTTAAAATGGCTGGAAATAGAGTTAATTCTCATTCTCCAGCCTAGATCATCTATGCATTCTACCTCTTCCTACAGAAAGCCACACCAACGCTGGCTCTGCTGTTTGAGAGAGGACTGAGAAAGCCAGCAACGCAGCTGGAAACCACAGCTGTCTGGAACACTGGAGTTCCTGGGACAAAGTGAAAGTCATGGACTGTACTTAACTTTTACAGAAAGGTATTGGAAGTAAATAGGCATATGGAATTTAACCACTAGCTAGGGATGTTTTACACTCAATTATTTGGAAGAATAAGCGACTCAGTGCTTCTGACTCTACAAGCTTGCTTTTGAAATTTAAAACTCCCACCAACCACCCTAACTGGATCACCTGCGGCCCCGCCCACCAGGAGCGGTCACGTGCTTAGATCCTCCGCCGTGAGGGCTTTTGGGAGAGCGGGACCCCGGAAGCGGAAGTTCAGAGGTCAAACACGTCACTTCCTTCGGCCAGAGTAGCTCAACGGATCTCATTTCTTTTGCTCAGCTAAAATCACAGAATGAAGGAGGTGAAGAGCGAACGGGAGCGGGGAAGCCGGCGAAGGCACAGGGACGGGGACATGGTGGTGGCGGCGGCGGCGGCGGTGGTGGTGAAGCAGGAGCGCCTGAGCCCGGAAGCCGCGCCTCCCACCCACCGCCGTGCGGACTTCTCGGGCGGTAGCCAGTCTCCTCCGGCCGGCGAGCCCGGCCGCCCTGGCCATCGCGGGAACCGAGCCCGAGGAGTTAGTCGGTAAGTGGGAGGCAGCCCGGGATGGACTGTGGGTCGAGCTCATGGAGAAAGGACAAGGTTGGCGTCAGAAACAGGCCTGGGATGCGGAGCGCAACAGGACTTAATGGTGAGGCGGTGAAAGTGACCCAGCAGTGCTGGTTAAAGAGAGCTCACCCCAGTACCTGTCACTTGGATTATAGCGAATGTCGAGCGCCCAGTGCCTAAGGAGCAGGGTCCCGCACTTTCAGTCTGGTGTCCCCAGCCATTCGCACAGCATTGCCCAGCATGTAGCACTGAGCGTCTAAGTTGAATGAGATTCCTCCTATCTGCTCACCGAAGGCGGGGAATCTCCCAGTTATCGTCCCTCTATAGATTTCCGCATTGAGTTCAAGGCGATCCACCTTGTAGGAACGCTGAAAAAAAAAACACCTTTTTTTTTTTTTTTTTTTTTTTTGCTCTTCTGGGTTTGAATTCAGGGCCTCGCGCTTGCTAGGCAGGCGCTCTACCGCTTGAGACACGTCCCCACCCCACCCCACCCCGCCCCCAAAATTACTTCTTTCTACATTCATTCATTTATGCATCCATTCAACATAGTTTTGCTTGTTACGTGCTTAACACCATTGTAGGTACTGGGCCCAAGGGTGAACAAAATAGATCTTTATCCTCGCGAAATTGGCCTTAGCCTCTGACTAACAAGCAAGTCGATAAAATGGTTTCCGTTAGTAAGAAGTATTATGGATACGTTAAAACAGTAATTTGTAAATGAGAGATCAGAGGGAAGTCGGAGAGGGCTTTTCTAAAGAGATACCATTTAGACTGACACCTGAATGATAACATTGGTCCAGCATCTTAAGGTGCAGGCAGAAACAGCATGTGCAAAGAGTTTGAAGTACAATTATGATTGTTTTAGAAACTAAAAAAACGAACATGGTATTTGAAGTCTAGTGATCAAGAAGGAGAGTAGTAGGAATGAGATTGGGGTCAGGAGGAGGTCAAGCCATAGGACTTGCCAATGGATTGAATGTGATTGTCCGAGAAGGGAGTGTGTTGGTGAGAATAAATGTGGCAGGATTGACTTCTGGATGGTCGTGTTAATTAGAGAGATGGCAAATACTGGGAGAAAGGTTTTGAGGGTTGGGAGTCAAGAGCTATGTTATTCAAGTGAGAAGGCTCAACAGACAGTTGTATATGGGTGTATTATGGGGTTCTGGAACTCAAGGGAGACCTGAGGGCTAGGAAAGCAAAACCCCTGGCTCCTTTAGTGATCAGCGGAGATCTTCACAAATGTGGTGTTTGTGTTTAGTAGATAAGCCTGATACTTGAAGCTAATTTATGTGGGGGAAGGGAAATTGAGATAAAATCCTGTACCATGCTCTGAAAAGGTCCCCAGCCAAAAAGAAAAACAAGTCCTCAGGGAGAAGAAGCAAGTCTCCTCGAACTAAGAGAAGCCGGAGTCCTCACCACTCAACAGTCAAAGTGAAGCAGGTAAGTGGATTGGGCCCAAGTCTAGAGCCTCTTCCCACCATAGCTATAGCTTGTGTGCGTGTGTGTTCTCCTGTATTCACAGAGGGCTTTTCTAAAAACTGAGTGTGTGTTTGGGTTTGCCTTCTGCTTGTTTTCTCAAACTAGATTTTTTATTTTGAGGTAATTGTTGATTCACATCTGGTAATTGCATTTATTACAAATAATACAGAGAAGTATACGTACTCCCAATGGTAACTGCAGAACTATGGTACAAAGTCACAATTAGAGTGTCATCACTGATCCAGTTGAGATATAGAACAATTCCATCTCTGTGAAGATCCCCCAAGTAGTTCTTTTATTGCCACACCCGCTTTTTTCCCACCTTTATTCTTCCTTAACTCTTCTACTCTGTTTTTCATATCTTAAGGTTTTAAGTCCATGTCCTGTTTTCAGTTTGTTTTAATATAGTGTAAGATCTGGGACTAGATTGAGGTACAAGTTTTGGTCTCTGAGTACCCCACTTGATTCAGCACTGTTTGTTGAAAGGCCATTTTTCCTCCATTGGATTGTTTTTGTTCCTTTGTCACAAATCAGTTGGACATACTTCTTGGCTCTGTTTGTTTGAGGGATTGAACTCAAGGTCTTGAATTTGATATGCAAGTTCTCTACCACTTGAGTTATATCCTCAGTATGTTTTGCTTTTGGTTTTGTTTTTCAGATGGGGTCTTGATTTTTTTGCCTGGGCTGGCCTCAGACTATGATACTCCTTCCTCTTCCCACCATACCTGGCCTTGTTTTAGTTGTTTTTTTTTTTTTTTGAGAGGGGGAACTGGGGTTTGAGCTTAGGGCTTTGCACTTGCAAAGCAGGTGCTCTACCACTTGAGCCTCATCTCTAGTCCATTTTTCTGTGGTTATTTTGGAGATGGAGTCTCACGAACTATTTGGGCTGGCCTCAAACCGTGATCTTCCTGATCTCAGCTAGGATTACAGGTGTGAGCCACAGGCAGCCAGCTGGTTTGTGGGTGTGCTGTTGTTGTTGTTTGATAGGGACCTCATGTAGCCCAGGCTGGCCTTGAATTTTCAATCCTCCTGCCTCAGCCTCTCGAGTGCTGGGATTATGGGTGTGTACCACTATAATTGGTTGGCTTTTTTTTTTTTTTTTTAACTGTGTTGTTTTCTGATCTATGAATACTCTGTGTATGTCCTTTATTTAGATATTTGTTTTTGTTTTGTGGTGCTGGGTGCATGCTAAAACATGCTCTACCACTGAGCTACATACCCAGCCCTTCTTTGATTAATCCATGTTTGTAGTTTACAGAATACAAGTCTTTATGTGTTTTATTAAATTTACGCTGAAATATTTCTTTTTTAGGGTGGTTATAAGTACTATTTTAGATTTTAGTGTCTACATGTCTGTGGGTAGTATATAGACATATAATAGATTTTTGTATGTTTTTCTTAATCCTGTGTCCTTACTGAACTCAGTTATTCTAGAAGGTTTTTTTGTAGGTTACTTGAGATTTTCTACATAATCATATCTACAAATAGGGACAGCTTTATTATTTCTTCCTTCATTATCTATATGCTTTTCTTTCATTTTTGTGCTGGCCAGAACTTCTAGTACTGTTGAATAAGAATGGTGAGAGGAGACCCTCCTGCTGTGTTCTGAATCTTGTAGGCCAAATATTCAGTGTTTAAATAAGGAAACCTATAAAATGCAAGTAGAGGCACTGGTATTAAAAAAGTGGACTTCCCAGTGAATTAGACTGTATGCCAACTTTTTACTTTTTTTTTTTGTAGTACTGAGGTTTGAACTTGGGCTTCATCTTGTGAGGCAGATGCTCACTTGAGCCATGCTTCTAGCTCAACTTTCACTACTTTAAAGACATAGAGGGACTGATGGAGTGGATCAAGTGGGAGCATGAGGTCCTGAGTTCAAACCCCAGTACCGCCAATAAATAAGTAAATAAAATTATACATATATATAAATAAAAGACATGGATCCAGCTGATTTTGGTGGTGCCTATCTGTAATCCTAGCACTCAGGCTAAGGTAGAATGATTGGACTGGCTGGGGGATACATTGCAAATTCAAAGCTAGCCTTACCTACATAGCAAGATCATGTTTCAAAAAAAAAAATGTGAGGTCTTTATGATCAACTGCATGAGTTGATCAGGTACTGCTTTGGCTACCTCAGAATTCAGACACCTAGACCAAACCTCTCAAACTGCTTGTAGATTGTTTTTCGCATTACTGGGGATTGAACTCAGGGCCTTATGCATGCCAGGGAAGCACTCCACCACTTGCATCACCCCAGTTATTTTTTTTCGTTTGTTTTTTGGTGGGACTGGAGTTTGAACTCAGGATTCCACGCTTGCAAATCAGGTGCTGTACCATTTGAGTCACATCTCCAGTCCATTGTGCTCTTATTATTTTGTTGATGGGGTCTCTTGAACTATTTGCCAGGGTGGTCTTGAACTGCAGTCCTACTGATCTCAGCCTCCAGAGTAGGTGGGATTACAGAAGTGAGCCACAAGTGCTGACTTGTTTTGTTTTTTAGTGCACAATTTGTAGCTCTTTACTCTGGTTTCTAAAGTGGTATTTTGCAATAAATCCCTGGGCTCTTAGCATAGAATTTTTCTATAATTATTACTATTTTGGAATGTCTTAGTTTGCTTATGTGTGCTGATTTCTTTTTTTTTTTTTTGGTAGCACTAGTGTTTGAACTCGGGGCCTCACGCTTGTTGGGCAGGTGCTCTTACCACCTGAACCACTACCCCAGCCCTCAAAGGTGTTTTCTGTGTGTAGGTTGAGTATTCCTCAGTCAGAATAGTTGGTACCAGAATCGTTTCAGACTTTTTTTCCTTCAGATTTTGGAATGTTTTCATGTACATAATGTGATATCTTGGGGGATGGACAAAAGTTTAAACACAACTCACTTATGTTTCATATATACCATTTATATATAGCCTGAAGGTAATGGTATACAGTATTTTTAGTGCAGCTGTGTGGTTTTTTGAGGTTTGAACTCTGGACTTCATACTTGCAGAGCAGGCACTCTGTGGCTTGAGCCATGCCTCCAGTGCACCTGCATTTTAACTTTAATCCTCAATGAAGTCAGGTGTGGAATTTTCCTGCCATCACCATGTGAGCACTCAAAAACTTTCTAATTTTTGGGCTGAGTATGTAGCTAGTGGTACAGTGCCTGGCATTCATGAGGCCCTGGCTTTAATCCCCAACACTGCAAAAAAGAAAAAAAAGAAATAGGCAAAAAATTTATTTGCCAGGTATGGAGATGTGTGCTTGTAGTCCTAACTATTTAGGATGGTGAAGCTAGAGGATCGTTTGAGGCCAGAATGGGCAATATAGAAGAGCCTGTCTCAAAAAAAAGTTTCAGATTTTAGAGTATTTGGATTTTCAGATTAGGGATGCTCAACCTGTATTAGTCAGCTAAAGATTTGGAAATGACTGTCAAGCAAAAGGGCTTAACAGGTGGTTGGTTAACTAAATGAGTTTTTACTTGGGTTAGTATCAAGTAAAAATGTGTACAGCCTCTGATTTAGGAATGATTTGTGTTTGCAGGTATTCTTTCCTCTGAACTATCATGTTAAAGTAAATGTATTGATTATATGCTCATCATAATAGCACAGAATTAAATGAAATAAAATATGAATGTGTTTTGTGTGTAGTATATGATAACTATTCATTATCCCCCAAATTTCATCACTACTACCTCCCCAACAAAAAACTACCTTCTTTAAGGGGCAGAGATAACCACTACAACATAATCTCTGCTGCTGTCACCACATTGCCTTCCCCCTGCTGAGTGCCTCTGTCTGTTCTTGTTTCTGGCTTTTTTTGCAGTGCTAGGGTTTGAACTCAGGGCTTACATCTTGAGCCATTCCCCCAGCCCTATTTTTGTGATGAGTTTTTTGGGATAGGGTCTTGTGAACTATTTGCCTGAGTTGGCTTTGAACAGAGATCCTCCTGACCTCTGCCTCCTGAGTAGCTAGGATTATAGGTGTGAGCCACTGGTGCCCAGCTCTCTGTCTCTTTAACTGACCCCTCTATCCACAGGGATACATTGGAAGACTCTCCAATGAATGCCTGAAGCCATAAATAACACCTGAGTCCTACATGCGCACTGGTTTTTCCTATACGTACATATCTTTCAAAATTTAAATTTTTTTTTCGGTGGTACTAGGATTTGAACTCAGGGCTCATCCTTGCTAGGCAGGCACTCCACCACTTGAGCCACTCCGCCAGCCCTGTTTTGTGTTGGATGTTTTCGAGATAGGATCTTGAGAACTGTTTGCCCTCTCTGACTTCAAACCTTGATTCTCCTGATCTGTGCCTCCTGAATAGCTAGGATTACAGGTGTGAGCCACTGGTTCCGGCTTCAAAGTTTAATTTATAAATTAGGCACAGTAAGAATTTAACAACAATAACTAATAATTAAGAATTGTTTGGTTTTGAAATAAGGGTCTCAGTTTGTTGCCCAGGCTGGTCTCAAATTCATGTGCTCAAGCAGCCCTCCTGATTCAGCCTCCCGAGTAGTTGGGACTGCAGGCATGCCCCATCATGCTTGGCTTTATTTCTAGGATTTTCCATTAAATATTTTTGGACTGTAGTTGACCCCAAGTAACTGAAACTACAGCAGGGTGCTGTAATTACATCTGCAATGACCGTATTCTGGAAAAAGGTCACCTACTGAGGTTCCATGCAGGACTAGAATTTTAGAGGGGCGCTATTCAAACTAGTATGTTAAGTTTAAGATGTTTATTAGTCATTCAAATGGAAATGAGTGGAATTCAGAGAAGATACTCTGGTTCCAGATGAGTTTTAGGGAGTCAACTTCATATAATTGTGTGGAAAGTAGTAGAATTAGTAGTAGGTGAGACAAAGGAAATGAAAATAAATGAGACACCAGCAAATCAAGGGTAATCTAGTATAGAAAAATTTCCAAGGCTGGACTGGAGGTATCGCTAAAGTGGTAGAGTGCCTGCTTTGCAATCACCTAG